GCCCCAGTGCCTTGGGGCCAACCCAGGGACCTAGGGCATGGAGAAGGGGACCAGACACCCCTTCCACAACCAGGCACACCGTGCCAGCACCTCAGGACCCACTTGGGAACCTGGGGTATGGAGCTGAAGATTGGACACTCTCCACAACCAGGCACACCGCCAGCACCATGGAGCAGGCCAAAACATCTCCTCCACATGGGTGGCCCACCTCAGCCATCACGATAACCATGGCTGCCATGAAGGCAGCTAGACGCCACAACCACCACACAGATGGTCCGCCAGCCACTGGAGTGAGTTGACACAAGGAGAGTCACCAGCAGAGACAAAGAAAGGAGGAGGATGTCTGTCTCCACAGAGCCCATTTCATAGTGACAGAAGAGACATCTGCTCTGTGATAGTATTGGGGGACCTGATCACGCCTCTCAGCATTGGACAGATCTTTTGGGCAGCAAATCAACAGAGTAACCATTATTCTTTCAGAGGGAGAGAAGAAATCTAGGGTAATTAGAGGGGGGATGGGGAGGGATTGGACAAGGGGCATAAATAATAATTACGATTTGTAACAATATATATGCTAGTAATATTGATTTGATCAACATAGCTCAATGTTGAAACCCAAAATTTATATAGTCAATTTTGATTCAATAAAAATTAAAAATTAAAAGAAAATTTAAAAAATAAAGAAATTGGGAAGCTGAAGAGACAAAAAGGCCAGGAAGAGCTTGCAGAGGAGAGAGCACCTGCAGCTGCCGGTCCTGCGATCTCCTTGGAGGCAGCAGCAGAGCATCAGAGATATGATCGGGAACTCCCTTCCCATGGGTGACCAGTCACTTCATCCCTGGTGCGGCCTTGGAGCCCAGACACCACCTTCCAGTCTAGATCTGCCTTGCCACCCCCATGGGCATCCCGGAGGCCTGAAAGGAGTCACAAATGGCAAAAGAGACCGAGGCTTGAGAGGAAGTGGCATGTGCCCCAGATTTCGGGAATGTGGCTCACAGGCCCCATGGCCTTCCAGTTTGGTGCCCCCTGCAAGCTCCCTCCCTGCGCCCGGCCCCTACCTTGGTATCCAAGCGACAGCCCCGGCTGCCTGGCCGCCTGGCTCCACTCGGGCCTCCTCCTTTCATATGCTAATTGCTTGCTCACAGCTACACCCGGTCCGCTGAAGTTTGGGCTACTCCTCCCCCCAGGAGCCTTTGAGAAACTTTCCTTCTTCCTGGGAAACAGTGACTGGACCCGTCAGGGGGCCTCGGTGAGAGAACTGATTCAGGGAGAGGGGATCTTAAAATGGCTCCTTGGAACAGACTAGCTGAGAGCTAGCTGGCTTTTCACTCCCTTACCCCCTCCTTATCCCTCCCTTTGAGCAGTCCCTGAACTCCCCACCCCACCCCCAGCTGTGGAGCTTGGAGTTGGGCAGTTGCCTGGACAACCTCGGTTCTTCCCAAGCATTGCCCCGGTCCCTGCTGTCCAAGAGAGAGGGACACTGGTCATCTGAACAATGCTCCCTGCCCTGACAAGTTTGGGAGAGGGCCAAGTGAGTCCCCTTCTGTCTGTCGAGGAGGGCTGTGGACATGGGCTGAAGAAGCCACCGGGTGAGTGACAGGATGGTGCAGACTTTGGACCAAAGAGTCTGGGCTCAAACTCCAGCCCTGCTGTTTAATAGCTGCGTGACCTTGACAAGCTATGAAGCCTCTCTGCCTGTTTCCTCTCTAAATAGGGAGTGATGTAGGCAGCTTACAGATGAGTTGTGATGATTAGACAAGATGCTCGGTGCGGGGCCAGCGCACCTATCTGAAAGCATGTTAGTCCAGCAGCTGCCATCTTGTCACAGCTGTAGCCCCTGGGTTAGTGGCTCCCGGGCCTGGAGAACTCCTGGAGCACAGATGCAGTCTCCCCCATCTGCCTGGGCAGCACCCAGCACGGGCCTGGGCTCATGGGCCTGGGCTCAGAGCACCTCTTGTCTCTGGGCTTTGCATGAGCCATCCCCTCTTCCCCGCACTTGGCTCAGCTGAATTGTCACGTCCCCTAGGAAGCCATTCCTGACAGCCAAGGCACGGGCCTGGGCTCAGAGCACCTCTTGTCTCTGGGCTTTGCATGAGCCATCCCCTCTTTCCCGCACTTGGCTCAGCTGAATTGTCACGTCCCCTAGGAAGCCATTCCTGACAGCCAAGGCAAACCTAGCCCCTCCTGTCTGGGACATCCCCTTACCACCTGGGCTAGTCTGCAGCTGACCCCAAACCAAATGACAACTTGACCCACCCCACACCAGCCCTGCTGCTGCCTGATCCTCTCCCCAGCTTGCTTCGGGCCAGCACTACCCTGAGCCCTACTCCCCCTGCAGCCCTGGAAGTGAGCTGAAGGCACCCTTGCCCACACCTTCATTCCAAAGCAGCAGCCGGGAATAAAGGACAGGCAGGACTGTCCCAAGAACCTGGAATCGGCGGGGCCCATCACTTCTCTGCCAACAAGTCTAAGTCTGGAGGGTGGACCTCAGTTCTAGTTGTCCCAGGTAAGGTTCACTCCTGCTGGGGGCCTCCAGTCAGATGCCCAGAGTCCTACTGCCGGGGCCTGGAGGGCAGCTCAGCCCCTCCCCTACCAGGTCTTGCAGCCAAAAGTGGGTCAGTGACTAGGACCCTGCCTAGGACCAGGGACCCCAGGGGGTTCTCTCACCCTCTCCCATGGGGATGAGAG